ATTGTATTACAGTTAATCCCAGGCAGTTTAGAATACAGGTTTCCCTTGCTTTATGCGGGTTCCGTATGTTCGAATTCACTCTTATGCGTTGATCCTTTTTATACCAATAATTCATTATATGCGAGGTAAATTCACTCTTCTGCGATTGGCATGGTGGAAGCCTGCAGTCAGCTGCTTTGTGCACTGTGTTGTGGGAATGATGTGCACCGACATACAATCTTCTGTATGGATCTGTGCTTCATGCTTGTTGTCTGCGACATGTTTCTGTAGTTGCCATCCCCATTAGGGTAGTGCCCTGTGCTTGTGTACTGTCTGCTGTTGGTGAGTACCAAAATTGTCTTGTAAAAGTGGTAGAAATGAGTCTGGGGGTCAGTACAGTCAAGGTCTTGGAACGTATCCCTGTTTGTTACATTGTAACGTGAGTTCCCTTAATTCAAATTCGAGTTATGTGCTGTTTTCCAAGATACAGCATAAAACAAGGGAAACCTGTAATACAGTCCACTATGCTTAAAGTGGTCAAATTATATTAAGAACAGTTAAGGATGCAACCAGTCTGAGTTTTGCACATTGCTGCATTTTATAACTAGATCCTGTTTCGAGCATTACGCTTATGTATTTAAACTTTTGTTTAAAAAAATCTCTCTGGTACTTGTGCTTGTAATTGAAACCTGCCAAAATGAGCAAAATATAATTAGTACAAGGATATTTGCTTGCATCTACAAACAGCCCAGTGTAATATAGCTGAGGGTAGGGGCTGCATCCATTCAGCAGATCTAGGTGTTGATCTGAGGAAGAGAATGATGCTGAGAACTTAAATGTATGTGTTCCCTATTTCACTGCAGGTCATTTTAGCAGAAACATGATACAAACTTAGTTCTGAAACCCAAAATGTCTTCTGTTTCCATCTGTATGTCAAAAGCCACCAGAGTTTCCAGGGATAAAAGCTAGAGAAATTTTTTGGTGCAGTTCTGCATTTTAATACATCTTGTAGCAATTTAAAAACATGGAGGACAGCACCACGGAAGGGATACTTCAGTGACTCCACTGGTCATTTTCATATAGAGGTTAGATCATTAGCAGATCGAAAGCTTTTTAACCAAAGTTGTGGAATTTTCAGTCTGTTTCACTTGAATTCTTGAAATCAGGGTCCGACTATAAAAAGTAGGTCAGGTTTGCTATACGGCCTTAATTATAGTTTATTTTTGCTCCAGTGCAGTTGTAGTGAACGAATGAGTGAACATGAAGATGTAGGCCTCCTCACTTTTATTCTTGAATTATCTTGCATTTGGGCAGCCATGACCAGGATATGTACAGCAAATATCTAGACCAGTTATTGCTTTAGAAGCTGTTAGATTTCACTGTAGGATTTTCATATAGAGGAAAGGAGTAGAAGAAATAACTGGAATCATGTGCAATGTAGTATATTGGTACTATTCACTAGGGTTTATACTTCTCTGGGCTGACCAGTGTGTATGGCCTGCACAAAATCAGACTTTGGGAATAAGAGTTTGCTCTCAGGGTACCATGTAGTACAGGGGTGGGCAAAATACAGCCTGTGGGTCTGGCCTGCTAAATTTCACCTGGTCTGCAACTACTACTTTGAAGGAGAACTGTATCTGGCCCATAGCTGTGCCCTAGTTTTCAGTGCCTCTCACCTTTCTCCCTTCCCCACGGCAGCCAGCTGCAACAGACGCAGCCACTCCCCTCCTCTCCCCTGCTGGCCCACCCTGTCCCACCCTCCGGCCTCCAGGATAGGTTCCAAGGTGGGGAGCGCTGAGGTCATGGCCAGGCTTTTGCCTGGCGAGGCTGTCTGTGCACCACTCCAACCCTGCACTTGACGAGTTGAAGCTCAGGTAAGGTTCTCTCCGCTGGTGGGGGAGGAGGTGCAAGGGGAAGAGGGCCAGGAGTGGCAGGTTATCTGGGCTCCGCCAGGCCAGGGCCTGGTAGGGGTGTGGGCACTGGTGCCACGATGTGTTCCTACATGCCACTTTTGGCTGCACCACATGGAAGCAGTTGGTGTGGCTCCTGCCTGACCCCAAGTCCCCAGCATGCGGCTAATCTAAGGAATAAAGTGCGGAATAAACTCAGGAATAAAGTGTGGCACCAGCACAACCGTGTGCCAGGAAATGAAGATGGGGAATGGGTGCAGGGAGAAGGGGGAAACAGCATGATATTGGCCTGGCCAGGTCCAGACAACCTGTGACTATGCCCCTTTCTCCTTGCACCCCTCCCGACTCCCCAGCATATGGCCAGGCTGGGCCAGTGCCAGACTATTCTCACGTGCCACTTCAGGCCACATGGGTGTAGCTGGCGCAGCTCCTGCCCACCCCAGCCATGTACACTTGGGATGGGGTAGTGGGTGCAGGTAGAAGGGGGCTGAGAGCCACTGGCCATCCAGGCCTGTGCTGCACTGTTTCTCACCTCCCTGTGCACCCCCACTTCCTCCTGCCTCACCACTTGGTTGGGTTGGGCAGGAGCCACACCTGCAGCCCCTGCCTGGCCCAAGCTGGCATGCAGGAATACAGTGCAGCTCCAGCCCAACAGCACTCGGGGTGGGGGAGGGGGTTCAGGGAGAAGTGGGGAATAAAGATCAGGTTACCCAAACTGTTGTTCTCTCTGCCCAGGGTTGGGCCACTTAAGGAGTTTGGGTGAGCTGTTGTGGGAGAGTGGGGTGCTGACCTGGCTTGCAACAGCTCCCCCAAACGCCCTCAGTGGCCCACTGGCCCAAATAATTGCCCACCCTTGATGTAGAAGGATCCTGGACTGCCATCAGATCTAGTGGGAACAACTTAAGATGTAAAAAGGAACTTGAGTTTCCTGGGATGCTGGTGCTTCCCCAAGTCCCTTATGCCGTAGTAAGATCCCTGGAGCTGTGAGTTAGGAGGAAAAGGGCTTGTCCTCTTAGTTACAGTTGCTGATGCAACACAACTTCCCTAGTCCCACAGATTTATTTTGGCCACCCACCCCATATTCCACACCCTCCTGATAGCTTGTCCATTTTACTAGGTCAGAGAAGTACCATTACATCTTAAAATGTGGCAAAACTGACAGTTGGGAAGAAGAGAATATACAAGCCATTAGCCTGACTATAGCTGGACCCCCCAGTTCCCTTTTTATATTTTATTTATAACAAATTGCATGTTATAGCATAAACTGATCAGCAGATGAGCTAAGCTTGCTCTGTTGCCACTCTAAAATTAGCAAGCATGTTGTTCAATTTTTCACATAGATTACAAAAATGTTATTCGAAAATGCTGTTTCATTTTTAATAGGTGTTCTGCATTTAATCTGATACATAATTATTTAAGCAGCCTGTACTATGGTGTAGTATTCTGGCTGCAAAATATGTGCAGTGTTGCAAGCTCAGATGCCTTTGTTAATATTACTATTACTTCAGTAGCTGGTTTGTGGATGGTTATATGTCAAAAGAATAAGGTACGGAAATTAAAAGACCAAGCTAATTTTTGTTCTATTTGTCTCTATCAAAAAGGTATTTGCATTTATGTATAAAAATATTTTATTTGTCAAGTAGATCAGTTACTACAAATAATCTAAAGCTTTATTAAAAATGAATAGTGCGATGTTTCTTGGAGTCCTCAACTCATTTGGCATCCCATTGCACGCGCTCTCTCTCCCTTACATGCGCGCGTGTGCACACGCGCGTACACACAGAAAGCAATCATACAGCTTGGCTTTATCTCATACTTATTTAGTTCTGAAAGGTATTCATCAAAAATAGTTTGCAACTCTGTACATAGGTTATACAATATATGCACTGTAAAATCAAGATGTACAAGCCATCCTCCCACCCGTGTGTGAAAATTCTCATTTGGACCAACAATGACACTGCCGAATTGAGTTTTCTGTGCTAATAAGAGTGCACTACCAGGGATGCTGAGTGTGTTACTGGAACATGGGAAATGAATAAAAGCACAGTTGTCTGTCTTTGAATTACTCTACTTTTTCCAGGCAGAAATAGTTAGTCTGAAAGTGCTGCATAACCAGTACATACTTTAAAAAAAAAAAGTTTTTATTCTGAAAAGTTTACAGCCTAGAGCAGTGGTGCTTAAATTTTTTTGGATTGCTTACCTCTTTGCAAGTTTATAGTGCTGTGTGCCCCCAGGATTACATGTTGCAGTTAATTAAAAACACTCACTACACATAAAGTAAGAAGTAGCATAAGGTTGTTTTTAATTTTTCCTTCCTTTTCCTTCATTTAAGATCCCCCTTTCCTTTCTGCTTTCCCAGTCCTTCCTGATATCTACCTTCTAGACCAGTGGTTCTCAGTTTTTTTAGGCTGAAGGCACCCCTAGGTGCACTGCTCTAGACCAGTGATTCTCAACTAGGGTGCCATACAATGTGTGCTCTAGGTGTGCAAATATGGTTCACAATATAAGCCCAGAGATTTCAGAAAAGAATGAATGGGCGTTTGTAGATGATACTTTAAAGCAGGTTAAATGCCTTTTGCACCTCTTTAATGGCATTGCTGTTTGCACATTTGGTGGCATAACTCACCTTAAATGACTTTGGGACACAGCAAATGACTTTGGGATGCTGCAAGCTAAAGCACCTCCGAGGAGTTTTAGTTTTCTACCCTACAGCTGCAGAGAGCAGCACTGGGCTGTGAGAGGTTCAGGGGCTGTTTAGGTAACCTGTCAGGGTAACCTCTCCCCTCCCCCCGAGCCTGCCTGAGCTGCGCAGGGGCCTGGTGCTTCCCTCTGTGGCTGCAATGCCCCCCGGGACTGCCTGAGCCTGAGGTGGGGGCCACTGGGGGGAGGGGCTGCCACTGCTGTATAGGGAAGCACCAGCCCCCTACTTCCCCCACCCTGCTGCCCTGGCCACCAGCAGCTCGCTCTCCTCTCCCTGCCACTGGAGGGGCAGGTAAGGATCGGGCAGACACAAGTGTACATGACATGGGGGTTTACTTCACCCTAAACTGAAGCAATGTTTTTTTAAAAAAACACCACTTCAATTTAGGGAGAATTAAACCCCCCATGTCATGTACAAATGCCCAATGGTGTTAAAACATTCTGACCTGTTGTGATCTTTCTGAGTTCTATGCAGTAGAAGAACTCTTATTATTTTTCTGTAGTCAGAAAATGAGTGAAAACTAAGAGCTGGCAGCTTTTGAGGGATGACTTGAGCTTAATGAGTGGTGCCTAGACTATAAAAAGGTTGAGAACCACTGCTCTAGACATCTGCCTCATATCCCAGTTTGGGAAACAATAACCTAGATTGAATGCTGATTTAATGATTACAATACCAGGCTTGAAACAGTTGATATTTTTGGCAGACAATCTTTGAAAACCTTTTGAGGCAGCAATATATTCACAAGGAGAACCTAAATGGAAAAGCATGTCACTTGACTAGGGTGCATGTATCTGTGTTACATCCCCTTTCTAGCAGCAAAAGTTTGTGCATTTAAGTCAGTTCATGTTTCACAGTTGATTTCCTAATACAACTTTCCCTTTAATATAGAGGTTCCAGTTAATGCCACCCTTTGTATTTTATTCTGATTTCTCTAACATCTCATAAAAACAGTAGTAAAGGGTGCTTTTATAGAATAAGACAATATTAGCTGCTAAATAATCTATTACAATAGGGCTGGAGGAAGTTCCTAAGTGTTCCAATTGGCTACATTTCCATGCAGTGCTGTACAGGATGTAATGTGAGTTTCTGTTTTTGTTTATATATACAGATGCTAAAGTGCAAGGCCAGGGAGCATGAATTGATTTCTTTTTCTGGTTTTCATGATAATTCACTCTTGGGCTAGGGCAGATCATTGAACCTTTCTGCCTCTGTTTCCCTAGCACGAAAACAGGAACAAGTGCATAATTATATAAGTGTTAATTATAGTTACAGCACGTACATTGGAAAAGGACATTGTAAAAAGATGTGGGTTCATATTTGATCACCTCCACAACTCAGTTATTTAAAAAAAAAATCAACATCTTCTGAGAGAGAAGGAACTTAACAGGCTACAATGATTTGAGATGCAATAGCTGTATGTACCATACCCCATAATATATGGAGAAATGGCAACAAAAGTTGATCCTTGTGCAATCTGAAAAAGTATACAGTCTGGTCCCTGCAAAAATTCATCCATGTGTCTGATTGCAAGCTGCATTTTATTCAGTCAAGGCAGAGTCCAATGGCTGCAAAAAAGGAAAGGGCAGCTGTCAGACCCCTTGCAGTAGCTGTTACGTTATAGTTACATGGGCCTGTTTATAGCAAAACTGCTCCACCTTTAAACCTGTTTCAGCTGTGGTCAAAACTGGGATTAGCTCACTTGTATTACTACAGATCCATGCAGATGCAACAGTATTACCATGCTCCCCCTTCACTTTTGAGGATCCTATGTTTGTTCGTACTCTAAGACTACTCCCTTCAGCAGAACAACAGATAGTTTGTTGCTGAGGGTCTGGCAAACTAGTCTCAATGCTAATCTCAGCTGAGAAAGAAGTAGAAACAATACAACTCTAAGTTATTTTCTCTTAACATTTTAAGTCTGTTAAAAAATCTCCACCCCCACCATTTTTGCAGAGTTAAGTATAAGGACTAAAACATTAAGTAGGAAGGCTAGAAATATTAGCAGTTTAGCAGGAATCGTGGCAGGGCTACAGATTGCATCTACAGCTACCACACTCTCTTCACCCTCCCTGTATGTACAAACAGTCTGTGCCAGAAGATTAGAAAGTGAAGGTAGGTGAATTCTTTGTTTAATCATCAACACTCTCCGCACTGGATATTTCTTCATGTACAAGTAATGCCAAGTCCTCTTCATGCCAACTGGTGCACAAAAGCCCACTGCAAGACAAAGATAAGAAAGACATCTTAGCTGAGAGTAATAAATTGTATGCTGACTCAGCGCCAACCAACACACCCAATGACTTTTTGTACAGAAATGTCCAGATGATTTAATAAATAAAAGGACGACAATATTTGCCCCTATACAACACAGCTAGACAATCTCATTTCTGTTCTCTCTGAAAAGCATGAAGCCACTACGCCTGATTTAGCACAGGCTGCAACAAGCTACAGTTTCTATTCTGAAATAATAACATTACATTACACCCTTGGAAAAGATGGTTTTACTGGGATAGAGAGAATATTCCAAGGGCAGTATACCACAGGCACTAATGGATAAAAAAACAGAGGTGATGTTAAAAAATAAATGCATCTATTCTACAGTCCTGGGTGCACCATAGATTAGTTTCATAGTAAGCGTCCATTACCTTTTATATAGAAAACTGCTTTCTTTAAAAGGAACTTTATAATGCTTGACTGTATTAATTTAATTTAGATGCATGTAATATATGGTCCCAAGTCCTACAGTAGTTGAAGTGCTAACATTTTTTTTTATAATGCTGCTCTGTGGTACTCTCTACTCCCAGCATGCAACCTTTAGACTTCCAGTTCCATTACTCCTATCAGGTCTAAGAGTCCTTGCTGCATTATTGTAGTTAAAAAAAAACACAATGTTATTTCAATTATTTCATCAGAGTTAAACTGGCATCAAGCTGGAGTAATACAGTGGCACAGGGTTCTGAAATTATGAAAAGCACTTAAGTCTGTAATCTTCTTAGTATCTCATTGTGCTGACCTTAAAATGTAACTAGTGCAGAAATGTTACAGGTTAAGTGTAGGTACTAGGTAAAAGGATACAAACTTCCAGAGGAAAAAAATTGTATTAGAAAATAGTCTTCCCTTTTTTTCCCCCTAAAAGCAAGCATATGAATTAGGAGAGCAGTTTTCTAGCAATATTCATGTTCCAGCTTCTGAGGCATACAATTTACATAAGAGATTGTCAAGTGAATTCAGGTTTTATCAACACCTAGAAAATTTTATCTTTCCCCCTTAATATTACCAAAAGACAACTAACTGAAAATATTACATGTGTAATATTCCCATTGCTGCTCTATCCCTCCAGCTTTTTTTTTTAAATATGCACATCATGATTTATTCACACAGCACTTGAGTCCATGTTCATGAAGTTACTGGCAAAGCTCCTACTAACTTAATGTTGTGCAACCTAGGGCCTTAGTAGAAAGATTCTTATTGACTTCAATGGGCTTTGTATCAGGCTTATAATACCCACCAGCAACCAGAAGAGAACAGATTACAAAACTGAGTTTTCTTCTTTGAGAGAGCTCTATTAGCTGTCAGTTTGTGCTAAATTCTTCCCTCAGAAGCACACCCATGGTGCTCTTGCTCAAGCCTAGGGTTGGGTATTTGACTGGTCAAATAAAACTCAGTCAACTGACCAATCAAATATTGGTCAAAAATTGTAAAAAATTGCCAATAGGTCCAAATAATATGCAGAAAAAGCACACATTTTCCATTAGGAAATATGCCAAAAATTGATAAATAATTTCTGTAAAGAAAACTACAAAAAAATGTAGTTTTTTTGTAAAATCTAGGGGTGCACCGATAGACATTTTTTGGGCAGATACCGATAGCTGATTTTTAAGGAGGCATATTGGCTGATACTGATCTGATTTCCAACTCAACCTGGCTTGAAGAGCCACTGCTTGAAGAGCAGTGTCTGGCTGGTAAGTCTGCTGTGGTGGAAGGGGAGGGGAAAGGAAAGGAGCATGGTAGGGGATCAGATTGAGGCCTCTGCAGTGAGGGAGGAAGTGGGGCAGGGGCTGGAGCAGGCACTGCCCTGCCGGGGCAGGGCACGAGACAGAGCTGCAGCTTCTCCAGGGGGCGCGGGGAGGTGGGGGTCTGGCTCCCTCCACTGTGCACACCCCAGGAGGGCATGGGGGCACGTGCCCCCAGATCTGCATGTGGGGCAAGGGACGGCTGCCTTTGTGGGCTGGGGCTGCGCTAGGCTCTTCCCAGTGTGGGCTGGGCCAGGCTGCATTTGGGGCAGGCAGTGGCAGCAGTGCTGGGAGGGGGATTGGGGGGCTACAGCAAATTTGGGGGTGGCTGCAGCCCCCCTGTAGCCCCCTGCCAGTGCTGCTGCTGTCTGCCCTGAGCACAGCCCAGCCCAGCCCCTGCCCACAGTGGCAGCTACCCTGTCCCACGCAGATCTGGAGGCACACAGCCCCTCGAGCCCTCCCAGGGTGTGTGCAGCAGCAGGAGCCACCTTCCCCTCTCTGTGCCTCCCAGACAAGCCACAGCTCAGTCCTGCACCCCGCCCAGGCAGCACCTGCCCCACCCCCAGCCCCACTCCCTCCCTCACCACAGGGACCTCGATCTGCCCAACCACCGCCCTTTTCCTATCCCCTCCGCTTTCACTACAACAGGCTTACCAGCTGGATGCAGCTCTCTAAGCTGCTGGGCTGTGCTCCTGGCCCCAAGCGTGCTGCAGCTGCACACATGCATGGAGCATTTATTGGCCACATTGTTGGCCGCATCAGGCAAAAAAAAGCCAATTTTCGATATAGTCAATTTTCTTTATATTGGTGCCGATCCAATATTGGACTAATGTATTGGTGCACCTCTAGTAAAATTGCTATAATTTTGGACCAGTCAAAAAAAGTGGTCAATTTACAATATTTGACTAGTCAATTGACTGGGTGGCCATCCCTACTCAAGCAAATGAGTGCCACATATATATATATCTAAGGACAGAATTTAGCCCAGGGTGAAGTTACACATTACATTTAGATAGTACTAAGAACACTTAAAATGAGAGTATTTGCATATTAGAACTCATTCATTTATGCTAATTGCCCTCTGAGAATCTCAAAGTTATGCCACTTCAGGTGAGAGTTACTCTGGGTTGTGCTACCTAGCTCATGTTAGGATAACTCTACTCTGCTTCATGGAGATAAAGCGAGAAATTTGCAGTCCTCCAGCATCCCAGGATGCAGTGTTCCAGTTCCCTTCCCCTTCCCAGGAGAGCTGGGATAGAGCCCAGGTGTCCTGGCTCCTGCTTGACAGCCTTCTCATGTCAAGCAAGAGTTATGCAGGCAAGAAATGGTATTAATTCTTAACATGTGACTGCTCACAACATGGTCTAACTTTAACACTGCTTAATATTCCAGATTTAGTATGATCTGAGTGTAATATGTAAGTTCACCTTCAGGTTGTACTTCAGTTCACAATCATTAGGTGAAAGGCTACAACATTTCATCTACTTAAACTACTCAACATCGATTCATACAACATATATTGATCTATAATGAAAACCCTTTGATACATATAAATATGTATACTAACCTCAGTATGCTGAGTGGAATTATACAAATACCAGCTGCTATAAGAAAACTAAAGCCTGGAAACCAGATGACAGTGGCTGCATAGAGACTATTAAAAACTGCAAATGCCATGCTACCAGTCACAGCTTCTAAGCAGGCAATACAAGCAAACACAGCACCTGTTAAAAATAAAAAATAATAAATGAATGAATTACAAAAGAATATTCACACTTCTATAAATACAGTAATTAACTTTGTTTAAAGAAGAGAATGAATGAACAAAAATTCAAGAGATCCACTGTTACCATGGTCATTTCATATCACCCAAGAATTGTACATTTCATTAGCATGCTTTGCATGGGAACTTCCACTAAAAGCACCGTTTGGTAAGTGACAGAAGTGTACCGTAAGTGGAGATTCCTTTTCTGTACTAACACTCTTCCTATGTTTCTACTTTCTGTAATGCTTTTATCTAAAATTAAATTCAATCTATTCGTCCACACTTTCAAGGCTCTGTGAAACGCCACTCTACCTTTCCATCCTTTCCTCTCCTACTTTTTTCCTATAAAAGGGCATGCCCCAGGGGTGGCTGTGATATCCCCTGGTGACCATGAGGCTCCTGTCCCACTTGGCTCCCCAGGGGGTGCCCTCCCTTTTCTTCTTTCCTGCCCCACCTTAATGGAATTATTTTTCTGTTGTAGAAGAGAAGTTGCCCCAGGGTCCTTAAGCAAGCCCTAACCAGCCTTCAGCAGTGAGTTCCTCCTGTACCCAGTTGACCCAGTCCTGTTCTCCAATGCCCTAAGCAGGGCCCCCATTGGCCCCATCAGAGCTCCAGGCCACCAATTGCCTTAAGGGCTATTTGTGGTCTCCTTCCACCCCTACAGCCACATCCTTGCCTTGCAGGTATTACTCTTGATCCACATACCACCTTGTACTGGCTTCAGCCCTCTTAGCTTTAGCCTGCTGGCTCCTCTTGCTGTTGACTGCTAGCCTAGGCCCACTTTCTCTAGCCCAGCTTCTGAGTCTCAGCCTGTTCTGGCCCTCTGCCCATGGCCCATCCCACTCTGCTGGGGGCTCAGGCCCTGGCCCTCTTGGCTGGAGCCTGCCCCTTCCTCTCTGTTGGGGCTCAGGCCCTGGCCTTCCTGGACAGAGCCTATCCCTGATAGGGCTGAAATTATGGCGTGGCTCCCAGGCACCCCGTGTGGCCTCCTGTCCTTCCCTCCAGTCTGTCCCGTCCCCTAGTTCTGAAGCAGCAGGTATCTCTTTAGTATGTAAACTTTTCTGAAAAGAGAAAGGTAAGTACATCTGACAAGGCAGGCTGTCACCTATGAAAGCTTATGCTTCTCTGAACTAGTTAGTCTTTTAAGGTGCTCCCCTGTCCTGCCTTCAGCCTGTTTTTGAAAAAGAGTCCTCTTCAACATGCTTACACATGGTATGGTGTGGGTATGTTTATAGCGCTACAGATAAAATCACATTAAGCATACAGATTCATAAGTAATGCACAGCGTCCTGTATCAAACCACGTAACTACACAAAATCCTGAAGAATGCCAACAAATGGCAAATAAAGAAATGTATATGTTAACAGAGATCAGTATGAAAACACCTTTGCTTTACTTTGAGATGCTGGTTTCTAAAAAAAATGAACATCTCCAAAATTTTTTTTGCACAATGTGAGCTGACAGTTTCACAAAATGCAACTACTCATAATTCTGGAACAGGGCTCAGAGCCAGAGGTGCAATAACATGGCATAACATGTTTTAAACAAAAGCCACTCCTTGTCAGCTTTAAAGTAAAGATCACTGAAAAGCATTGTGTGTACTGTGTTGTGCTTCTTTTCTACACTACACATATAAAGTGCTGTTAGTTTGAAATCTAAACATTCATGGTTTTATAGGTGTAAGAATGAATAGGTTATATCCTTTGGAAAAGGCACTGAAGCCATAAGCAATGTTTCACAATTCAATGTTGAGTTTGTAATTGTTTCTTTTAATCTTCTCAAGTGTTCTGAAGGTTGACAATTCACCTTTTTGCCCTTCACAATATAATTTGTAATGGCTGACTTCACATAAGCAATATATCTTTCCCTGGATGTAAAAATGTGCTGAATGTTAAAAACACTTGTAAAGTCAAACCTGTGTAAGTGCACTTCAAGTTTCCATTGCTCTTTGTTTTAGGAAAGATTTTTTTTTCAAAATAGTAACATTGGTCAGAGGCTAACATATAATCTAATTTCTACAGATTTAGAAACCAAAGCCATATGGGTATTACTTAAATACCTAGATAGTAAGTGGAATCTGAAATTAAGAAAATGTGACATCATAATATCAATGCAAATTGAAAGAAAATGAAAAGCCCCATCTAAGAGTCTATTTATTTTAAATTATCCAATGGCTGTGTTCTTTTAACAAATTCAAATTACCTTGTTCACTGTCCAGAACCACTTTTGACAACATAGATCGCAGAACAGGAACAGGCATAAAGCACAGGAGAGATGGCACCCTCACTGTAAAACAATATGAAACAAGTATAAGTGACTAAAATAATTAAACTTTGGGCATTTAAAGGTGAACTGCAGTGATTTTTTTTAAACAAGTCAACTGCATATTTATGGTTTGAATGCCCCAAACAGTAAAAGTCATTGGGATTCAAAGCACAACTCTATGATGATACAATTATTTTTAAGTATGTTAACAAAGGAAACGTTCATAAACCCAAGTCATATACAATGAATTGAAGCACAAAGCTATGAGCAGGTAATGCCATTAACTGTCTGTACTGTTTCTTTTTTTAATTTGCATTTTAAATCCAACATGCATTTGATTCTACTTTACATTCCTTTTATGTTTTTGGTGATTATAAGGCAGGGGTGTCAAAGATGCAGCCTGCAGGCCACATCTGGCCCATGAAGCCATTTCATTTGGTCTGTGGGGCTCCTGGAGGAATTCAGGGTAGGTTAAGCAGGGCAAGGCCTGCCTCCAGTTTCCCAGGTCCAGAGCCCTGCTGGGGACATGTGTGGGCAGCAAAGGGCAAGTGACAACTGCATTAACTCCTGCGCCACTGCTGCTATTCACCCTGCTGCCTTTCACCCCACTACCAGAGGTGGGTCCAAATCTGGCCCACAAGGCTCCTTACACTCAGGATCCGGCCTATGAGGAGCTTTGTTATCTGGTTCTGGCCTACGGGGAGCTGTAGAGAGTTAAATATGCCTTCTTTAAGGGATTAGCTGCTTTCACCGTATACAATATAACAGGGCCATCCAATTGCTGACCCGTGGACCACATGCAGCCCCTGAGGCGTTAACCTGTGGCCCTTGGGCTCCCAGTCTGGATGCTGCTCCCCCTATCACTCTTGCAGCTACCCCTGTGTTCTCTGGGCTCCATGTCCCTCTTCCAGCATCCACTTCCTGCTCCTGGCCCTGTCCCTAGGAATGTGTGGTGTGGCCCACAGGGCCAAGAGAGCCCATGGCTAGGGCACCTCAGGGACACTGCCACTCTGTGTGGCCCGGGGTTGCTGATATGGTGCAGCATGTGACCAGCGGGAAATATGGCATATACAGTATGTGGTTGGTGGAGACTGTCAGGCTCAAGTTGGACAGTCCTGGGATATAACATGTTTTCACTACCTTTGAACTTACCTAAAAACATAAGCAGTGTAGTTTTGGCAAAGGCAGCCATGATTATTCCTCCAATGTAAGAAAATATCCCAATAAAAACAATATAAATGTCTTTCATAAACTGAGAAAACAAGTACACTCCTAAAAAACTGGTCAGAGAGACAGAAGTGAATGCAGCTGCTCCATATCCAATGTAGACTTCGCTCCAGCAGAGAGGAGCATCCAGTTCATACAATGTAAAAAGGGAAGTCCCACCAATCATGGCAAAGAAATACGACATAAATGCAAAAAGCAACACAGTGATTAAAGTTCGTTTTTTACAAGAGGAAGTTTTAAAAAGCATGTACACTCCAGAAAACGTTTCTTTAAAGCTGTCTTTACAAGATAATGAGGCATGTTGCTGGGATTCAGATACATCCACAGTCTCCTTCAGCCAAAATATAATATAGAAAATATTAATACCATGAAGCAGAGATGCAATTGCAAATGTCCATGTAAAGCCTACTCCTCTGATGAAGTAGCCAGAGGACAGTCCTGCTAATCCAGACACAAGTCCCAAAATCAAATCAATTACAGCTATGCGTTTAGTTTTCTGCTTCTCATCATGACATAAATCTGCTACGAAGGCAAACCCACCTCCAAGGAAAGTGGTCAGGCTTCCAAACAGTCCACTAATGAATGCAAGAGCAAAAAATAGAGAGAGAGTCCAGGAGAAATATGACAAGATACTGTAGAAAACATTTGTCATAAGAGCTCCCAGGGAAGGCAGAACCAAAGCTCTTTTGCGTCCATAGCAATCTCCATTAGCTACAACTATAAAGGCAACTATAATGCTGGGAACTGACCCACTTAAGTCCATTTGCAAAGAAAAAAGGGAGGCCTTTTGTTGGACTTCCTGCAAAAGAAAAAAAAGAAATTAATGACACAAAGCAGTTATATGTCCAAAATCTGCTGCTGTAACATTTCCCTCTGTCTGCTTTCCCTCAGTATTAATTGCTGTTATAAAAGCAAGATGCTAAAACCCTTATTCACAAGAAGTCCTTACTTCCTGAGTAAACCCAAGGGAGTCAAGACTATTCCTATGAGTAAGCATTTGCAAGATAAAGCACCATAACCCTGCAACACAGGAACACGGGGTCCTCCCTACTTCTACTGAAGTCAGGGGCAAACCAAGCACTTCTTACAGCCAGATTCTGATTCCTATAAGGAGTAATGCCTTTCTTCACAGAACAACAGTATTGACTATATATTGATCAACATGCAAACCAGTGCAAATAAGGAGATCAGGATGTGTACCCAAAGAGAATCTTACACAGCCCAAAATATTGTATTTTCTCATATACAATATGCCCCATGGGGGGGGAGGTGCATGAAGTATGAGAAATAGAGTATTTTACTTTTCAGTAAAGTTCCATGTGTCCATAAAAAATAATACACGCTGAGGAGACATTGAATAAAAAAAAAATACTAACCCTCACAATCCTGTTCAGGATTGTGAGATCTTCCTAATGAAGTGAAATAGCTACAAAATTCATCCAATATATAAATCTCTTTGCAGGCACTTGGCTACTTTTTTAAATATAAAAAATAAATAAACTCTTGGGTTTGGATAATCTCAAAGTCACTAGCAAGAAATGTTGCCACAGGTATTTACATAAGGTACATTAGCTGCATTATGGCGATAAGCTAACAATAACCCTGAATGGAAACTTTTAGTTTAACTCTTACAAAATTTGGTTTAGCAAGAGTTAAAAAAAAACATACTTCACAGACATAATGTATAACACATTTACCATTAAGAGTAGTTGGAGTAATAATTAAATCAGGTATGAAGAGGGAAAAAAGGTGACAACATCACATGCAAAGTTATTTTGCACATGATGCTAGTTGATAATCAAAGTGATATCCAGCTTTCAGATTCAGATCTTGATTTTAATTTATTTTATTAATGTATTTACAGAAGGGGAGTCACAACAACAGTTGGAAAGGAAGCAGCTTGCTCAGTCAAGATAGCTGCGATAGGAAGGAAAGTGGCTTGATCTGCATAATATATATCATGGTCATTCCACAGAATACAGTTAATAGTGTGGGAAGACCAAGGCCACTTCAGAAGCTTACTTGGAGTTTTTCTGAGGTATCACAAGTTTTCTAGGCTAACATTTGTCAACCCACAGACAGTAGGAGGCATAGCTGCCCAAATCCACCCAGGATGTTCTAAGATCCTGAAATAAGTCAGTAAGGCAAGAGGTATCCATGAAGGCTGAAGTGTTCACACACACTGCTCCCTGAACTCCCTGTCACTCTGCCATATGGCAGTATGGTTACTTCAAAGGTTGTGTTGTCACAGCCTTCCACTGCCTGAACCACTGCCACTGTGAGGGGATTGGATACCATGGAGTGAGAAGTTTAAATGGAGAATGATAGTTTAGTTTCTGGCATCTTCACTAGTGACAGATTCTCGGACAGAGTACTGGGTTTCATCCTTTGATGCTGCATCTGTTTGAGATGGGGGGAAGCTATGGCCTAGACAGTGGGAAAGGAAGCAATGAGACCTACACAAAAAGGAGGGGGAGGATTAGGTGGAGGAGAAGAGGCCCTGTCTATAGCGTGCACTGATGCAAAGGGAAGCCAAGCAGCCTGAAGACAGCAGCAGTAGGACAGGAAGTGATTTAACCTAAGAAGACTTTAGAGAAACACATACACATGGGAAGGGAAACTACTTGCTCTGAAGAGACAGTAGCAGTGGGAAGGGAAGGCCAGCAGACAAATGGGTACAGTGAACAAAGCAGGGGCCTCTTGGAGGACAATGATTTACTGCATTAATGAAGACTGAAAAAAAATTGTTGAATGGGTACACTTTTGGCACAGTTAAGAAGCAAACAGGGCTCTTCTGTACTCCCTGTTGGATGCCTTGTTTTCTTTACTACAAACAGGCACTCAGATATTACAGCGATGTGTATGATAGAAATGCCAATACACTGGCAATAAACAGTACTTCTACATATCATCCCTGCCCAGGCAGGAGTGCTCAAGGGTTTTGCATAACAATTTAGAAAAACAAAAGAAAAACTACTAGGAATATTATAGCTATAAAGAGGCACTCCTTTAACAACATTCAGCAAGAGGAACGATATTGTATATGAGTGATGGGACTTTTGTTTTGCTAGCTCTTTTTGTAGAGGGGTCACTTTTTTTTCTTGGAGGAGGAGGATGCCCAGCACACAGGAAAGACAAGTTCAGGTGCTCAACTGTAATTCAGCACAGCTCCACTAACTTCAATTAAACTACTCTGATTTATACCAGTAACCTAGCTTAGGTGGGGAAAGAGGGACGCTACATTTATAGGACATCCTTCCTTTTCCTTGTGACAAGGTATTTAGCAGAATTGACAGATCTGTTAGAATCTGACATGGCCACACCATGAGCACTTCTGCTATGGCCTAGAACTCTTAGCCTCTGGGCTTCCAACCATTTGCCTCAGTGCCTGCCCCACCAGAGCTGGGTGCTTACAGTATATGAAAATGATCAATGACCAGTTCAAATATTTAAAAGCAGATGAACATCAGAAAGTATGAGCCAAACCTTCAGCTGTTTTAAAACAACATAGTACCATTGATTCAAAGCCACTGATTTACACCAGCAAAGGTGGTGGCCCTATTTTCTTAATCTGCAAATATACCAGTAGTGTGACTGGAGCAGCAGCCATATACACTGCCTTTGTGAGGAAGGGGGCACGAAAATAGCCATCATCACAATCAACACAAAAGCAGCTTTCCACTACTCCATGTATTGCCACAGCCCTGGGTACAGAGTTGCTCTGCCATGCCTTTGAAATTCACAATACCCTAAAACATGATTATGCAAAAACAAAAAAGTCCTAGAATACAAAATGAAAAGGATGCAAATGAAGGCTTTCCTGACTTAAATAAGGATTATATTAGGAGAAGAGGATTGTGCCTTAGGCAAAGCAATGGACCAAGTAGGGTAAACTGATAGTGCCCCATAATTAAAGAATGTTACAGACCAGTAAAGGATAATGCATGCAGGGTGTGATAAATAACATCTCAGTATCAATCATCTGAGTTCAGTTAGAAGAGGTTTTCTTCAAACCTGTGCGGGCCGCCTCCCGATCCCATCCATGTCGCCATGTGCGAGCCGGGAGCGATATGCGGACCCGTCTTTGCGCACGCGGGCTGTGGCCAGCAGCCCGGGTACGCGGGGTCAGAGGAGACCGTGCGGCGGCAAGGCACGCACGGGCTAGAATTAGTCACAGAGGCGTAGTGGTTGATTTAAAGATTGTTTACTTACACCAAAGATGGTCGCGGTGCAGGCAGGAAAACTTGCTTGAGTTACAGTTGCAGATAGAAAAGATAAGAGGCGGACTAGAGTTTCTTCCCGTGAACACTCTTCTAGCCCATCCGGTTGGAGGCTCTAAACCGCGAGCCCGTCGCGCCAACCGAAGAAAGTACTCAAGACAAAGAGCTCTGAATAAACTCACACGAAGTTTGCTAGGCTCCGTGGGTCCTTGTGCGTGCAGGGAAGAGGGGTATGTCGAGGACTGCGCTCGGTGACAGGGAGAGGCTAGAGGCTGATCAGACCCCTGTTGCCTGCTTTAAATGCGCTGGGTCCGATAGGCTCCGCAGCGCTTAGAGATCTTCACACAGCGTGAAGTCTCCTCCTCCTGGTGTTCATGGAGTCCTAACTTGCGGGGGGTTCTCCTCGGAGTTCTCCAACTTGGGCGGAAACCACCCAAGCCTCTTATACGGCTAGCAAGCCAATCACTAGCCGCCACGTGTGAATAATTTCACGCAAGCCAATAATGGGGCTCGAATTAGAATACAAATGGTGCACCAAGCATTTCTTAGATGCAAAAAGAAATGCACCATGCAAAGAAAGCTACAAATTTGGCGGGAAATTCTCCCTTGCACCGGGGTTCTCCTTTACAGCAGAAAACTCCACCGTGCAAAGAAGCTGCAATTTAGCGGGAAAATAATTCAGTGGTGCCAAAGCACACACAAAAACAAAAATCACAACTTTGGGTTGTGACAAATCCTACAATCAGAAAGCTCCAGCTTTCATTCCAGTGACTTCTAAACCTCTTTTTAATTAATTATAAAATAAATACATTCTCCCACATCATAAGAAATAATGATACCAAATGCTGTGAAGGCTTTGTCCATCTTTGACTGTATCCTATATTACTCTGTAAACCCAAATTATATCTCTGTCCTCTATTCGTTCTCTCATTTTCCTTGGACACTGATGGGATTTAAGAAGTCCATCTGCAGCACTTACAACCAAGAGTAGACAAGATGAAGTAAAAAATGGAGTATGTGTCTTCCTCAAAGACTGGTGCAAACAGTAGGGGTGGAATGCTTATGGCAGAAAAAAATTCAAGGTATCTGGGCATCTATGCATAAGAAGCCTACTAATATCTTAGACTGCTTTAGAAATCAAGACTACTTCAAGCATACATATTCCCAGCAAATGACTTGGGGTTTACATTTTTCAGCCTACTGTTTTCACCCACTTTCACACAGGATTATTCAGCAGGGTACAATTGAAATTGAAGGGAGTTTTGCAATTGACTTCAGTGGGACAAGGATTTCACATCCAAGTACTGTGTTGATGGATGTGGTATAAAAACACAGGATAGAGAAAAAAGACCATAATTATTTAAGAGGTTTTAGCTATTTAATGTCTGTATTAAATGACTAAACCTGGAAATTGGCACAGCACAAGTAACAAAAATGGTTTACAGGTCAGCATCCTGTTCACTGTCCTTGGAGGAGTCATCCACTTGTAATAAATGCAAAGTTAGTTATTTTTATGCATGTTTTATGTCAGCTGTGTAAATAAGTACATTCCCACAGACACTTCTGTATAAAATTGTCTGAAATTCAGCTGACTCATGGTTAATATGTACTTTGCTTCAGTGCTTTGCAGAGTGGAATATCAAATCTTGCTTTTCTAAGCATACACTATCAAATTTTGAAAAACAGCTTGTTTTTCAGGGGTTTCTGGTAAACATCAACTGTAGGAAAAAGTGAAACTGTTCGCATGAAGCTGAATTGAGTTTCTAAATGAGCCACTGCAGTTAGGAGTATTTGCAACATAGGTAGGCTGTGTAGTAGTTGTCTTTATGGTAAATATTGACATATTATGTCATATATTCTACCTAAAAAGTAACCTGCAGTAAGAACGAATATGGGATAAAAATATCATTTGTGGGTGATACACAAATGCTAATATAATGAAAAAGTCTTGATCTAGCCAAATTCACCCACAGCCTTCTTCATATAAAATCTTAGGAGGTCCTGGTTCTTTGTCTGCAGTAGACTGAGCTACTCAGTTGTAAAACTCACTTGCTATGGAAATTTTTCTTCCCCTTAAGGGCTTAAGAGCTTTGCAGCCTGTAGGGGCGATTCATGTGTTCATTCCTGTGCTCAAAGAATTATTACAATTCTGCAGTAACTTTTCTGCCATAGGAAAGAAATTAGTATGGTCGCAGAAACTCAGCCTCAGGTTCTTTAAGCAGTTTGTTTGATTTAGACCTTGCCGAGACATTAGAGCAGTGCTTAGCTGCATGGCTATATCTGACAGACTGTTGAAAGGGGCCTTCCACTTCAGATCGTCAGAAAGACCCTAGCCCCACCTCTTCCTAACAGCATCCTGAAGTCGTGCACAGCTGCTTGCAGCTATTTAATTAGTGAAAGACCCATTCTTGGGGGTTAGCCAGGAAGAGCTGTTGATGCTTCTGATTCTCATAGAATTATATTTGACAGCTACCTTCCAATCAATACTAAGAAGACTAAAGAGTGGCTTTTGTTAGACGATTTGCCAGTCAAGGAACAGTACTACAGCAAAAATCAATTTAAGTTTTTAACCTTAAGTTTTTCCCTAGTTGTCAAACCAATTTTCATGTCAGGAACTCTGAGCAGCTCCTTTAAGCATATGCATCATAGTCCTCATGTGGCATGCCAATGTGTATAAATGTCATAGATAGCCATTATGGGAATGGGTAGCCCAGGGGCGGGCAATTATTTCAGGCAGAGGGCCGCTTACTGAGTTTTGGCAAGCCATCGAGGGTTGCATGACAGACAGCCAGGGGCAGATCAATATTAATTTTCTAAATTTTTTAGGGGCCCCACGGACCAGATAGAATGGCTTGGCGGGCCACATCTGGCCCATGGGCTGCATTTTGACCACCCCTGGGGTAGCCCCACCAAGATTAAAAACTAGGATCTGACCAGAATTCTTCACTCCAAGTGCTACCTATTACACTGCTGCACTCTCTCTGACTTGTTTACAAGGGGCATTGACCAGGACTTTTTACCATTTACCAAACACTCAATGTGTTTTATCATTTTCACTTAAGTCTATAAGAAGCTGTTGTACAATGCTAATGATTCTACTTAGTATCTAATTACCTAACAGGATATGTATAAACAGTGTTAAAATATGTTTTAAATATGATTAAAATAGTTAACAAACAGTTGAGATACTGCCACCCTGACAATGCAGGAAACACATTTCACAATTGGCAGGACAGGGAAATCTAAGTTTTCTAATGTTATTGAAGAATCAGATCAGTTTTAAAATTCTGGTTTATTTCTTCCCTCCCAGTTTCCTATCTCTATCAACATCGCTCCCTGGGTTATATGTGTTTAACCTAGGCTGGTTCTGCAAGTTTTGTTAATAAGCTTAACTGTAGGCACTTGAGTAGTCTGTAAGAAATGAGAGAGACTACTTATAGTACACAAAGTTAAATACATGCACAAATCTTTGTAGATTGGGGCCCTAGTTAGTAAGTTTCTTACTGCAAAGATAGTATTTTCTCTTTGGGGACCAATCATGTGAGGGAATATACATTTTCAGCTCCCAGGGACTTCAGAAAGAATTGAATGTCCTCAGAATCTTGCCAAAGTAGGTTCTTTGTCTATGAAACACTATATGCATGAATGGTGCCACGTAAATAATACTGAAATAGTAATTTTGCAGTAGTTAAGTCAACTTACTGTTTTTTTTATATATATATATATATATGGAATATTTAGATAGCCCTTCCCTGTAAGTTTTCATTTATAATTTTTTTTTTTTTTTTTTTTTTTTTTTACTTTTTTCCCCTCTTACCTTTTGTTTGATATAGGCTGGGTTACTTTGATTTTGCTCACAGTAAGTAGTGTTGCCGTAATCAATGAAAGTGGTATTGTTTTCTTCTTCCCACAGCCTTCGATAAATATACTGTTGTACTAGTGGGAGGGACAAGAAAAAAGCAAAACAGTATATGACAATGACAGGTTCCACCAACAAAACCTTCCTCATGTCTGGATTCCAGTTTAATTCTCTGTTTCAAGAAGAAAAAGCAAATATTAGCTATCAGAAAGGAAAAGTAGGCACTGACCTATCGACTGCAATTCAGTTGACTCAAACATTTGGGGATATTTTTGTAGACAAGCAGGAAGTATCAGTTATTTGTTCTCTGCCTTTTGGGGAGGAGCTTAGTCTTTTTTGAAACCAAGCTTGTTTCCAGACAGCTGCTATGTTACAGACTCCTAAAAATCTTATTAAAAGGAATTCAGCACATTCAATCAGGTTCCTTTTAAATAGTTACATGCTTGAATATCTTAGGGTTAGCAGCTTCTTCTTCTCTCACTGTATTCACATCTTAGTTTATCTTTTGCCATTTTCAGTGGTTTCTCAAACACATGACCAAGATTCTCAAAGTCTCTGACCAGGAACAGATGATTGTTAAGTTTGTAACATACAGCTCATGAGAAATCAGAGACAAGTATCTTCCTTCCCTCGGCTAAGAAATGTCGTGTTCTGGTACCCTGCCTGGGACAGTTTAATCCTGGCAGGGGGGAGCAGAAGGCAGGGTAGATCGATATCCACCTTGCAGCTCAGACTGGGAAGGTGCAGATGTACAACTCGGCCAGGGCTACAGGCAAATAGGACGCGTGGGAGGACGGACGCTCAGCGCACTGGGAGAGAAACACCCCGTCTCACGCAAAACAGAGACACGCGGGGACAGGCACAATGCAGGGACACTCATAAACCAGCGTAGCCATGGCTCGGCCTGGCAGGAGCTCCCCGAGGGACAGGCACACCGCCCATACCCTCCCTCGCCCACTCAAGGGGCGCGCTGACACACCCGTGTCCCCGGCTCTGCGTGACACCGG